TGCAGAGCGGCCCAGTGCAGCACTGTCTGTCCATTGCTATCTACGGCGCGGATGTCAGCCCCAGCCTGTAGAAACGCCAGCTTTGATTAAGGTGCTATAAATCATTTGTAATTATGTCGAGCCATTCGCTGGCACGGGCAAGCCCTCCCCTGAATGCCGTTGTCGCTAAGTCTAAGAATTCCAAGAAATGGCTCGTCATTCCGGCCCTTGTTACTTTGGAATTGGAGGAATGCGGAACGTATTGAAATGACAAATTCTAGGGCTTTTTGAAAATTAGGCTAGAATTCAGGTAAAAGGAATAACCTTCGTTATTTACTCATCTAAGCAACCAGACTGTGTCAAAATCTGACCTGAAAAAATCCCTTGAACTCTCGGTGACTTATATGTAAGGACGTTATTGATTACGGAATGAGTGCACCGTCGTGTCCCTCTTCGTCTTTTTCTCATATGTGCGCTTGGGTTCTTTAAACCTAAGCCATGTTCGCGTTTGTGTCAGGACCGAGACTTTCGTGGGGAACAGAAAACCATGAAGGAAATAATGTTGATAATGGTAGCGCACGACAAGACCCACCGTCTCGTGCCAACTGATTTATCGCTCCAATGACCGTTGCGGATCACAAGGAACTCGCGGTCATGGTTTTGTGTAACAACGTGTCTTCTGTTAAATGTGAGGTAGGGTAGAGGGGGGAGGCGGGGTGTGTGCTGTATTTATATTTTGTATTTATAACCCTACAGCCTCGATGTAAGGATATTAAATTTTGATTCGAGTATGTTTCAGCACTTACTGAGCCCAGGGCTATTTGGTCAGTGCTGTAACTAATGCTGCCACCAGTCCAACTGATGCAAACGATCGATCCGGGCGTAGCTGACGTGACTGATGCAATTGTCTTCAGTTCTGCGAATCATGATAATAATGACAAAGGCTGCAGATAAATCAAATACGGAAAAAAATAGGTTGATAACGTGATCGATAAGTCATAGTGATTACGTGACTGAGGGAGACTAAGGAAATAAGGAAGATTATTTTTGACGTGGTCGCTGTGACTGAGGACTGTAAGACCTTGGACGGCGCACAAAATGTGGCTCGCTGTCATTAATTTGGATAGCTAATGATTCGTCGGATCGTCAACTGTACTTCAGTCAATTGCGCTGGTATGGTGACGTTACCATTTAAACAATGTCATACTGTTTATGTTATTTGGTTAACACTGGAGAAAAAACGGAGAAACTCAGGTTAGGACCTATACCAATAAAATAAGTAGTGATGGTCACTTTTTAAGTCCACAAATAGGAGTGTGTGCGGGTTTGCGTGTAACTGCTGATGTACATTTGTATTTGTATTTCTTCGTGTAGATATATTATCATTTGATTGTGTTACAGGTAGTCTAATTTTCAGTTTGTTTTTCATTTTTGATCTATCTGTATTACAAATTAATTTGAATTAAGTTTGGTTTGATGTAATTAAAATCTACTATATTTATATATAAACTGAGAAGGAAACATTTACCGAGTCCTGAAACTGAGTCATGTGATCAAAACTGGATGGGTACAGAAAAAAGTTGTTTAAAAACAAGTGCTACAGATGAAATTGGCCTTGATGTATATACCAGAATGGGAATCAGTTTACGCTTATGGATCTTCCCGCATCAATGTATATGTAGTTAAAGAGCTTAATTGATGAAGCATCTAAAATTTTATTTTGTCATTGCACTTGATACGCACAAATTATTCGTAGTTAGTAATTGATTCTCTTTTTGATGGTAAGTTCATGTCATAATTATTCTCCTTCAGTTGAATGAACGTTAATATAATTTACCTTGCTACAATTACAAGGCAAATTCTTTCAATAGGGCATCAAAACAGCAAACTTGGAAAGGTCGTATGGCCTACAATTTAAAGTATAAGATGACCTATTCTTCTTGAGTGATCTACTCAGAGCTTGGCTTTACCTTAAGGATCATCTTTATTGCCTCTCCGTTGCCAACTCGAGCAGCCATGTGCAGAATGGTACACTCTGTGCCATGCTCGTCTTTGACTTTCTTGTTTACATTCGCATGGGTTTCGAGAGCCTTTCCCAGCGCCTGTATGTCTCCGTGCTTCATGGCCAGCTCTAGGGCTTCGTCAGGGCTGGACTGAAGGATAAAGTACAGGATATCATGTTATCATCGCTTCTTCATGCCTTCAGAATTCCATAATGACATATAAAACCTATTAAAACACACATGGATATAGAATATGTTTTTAGATATATATATATAAGTACTATGTTATATATGCAACACACAGTGGCACTGGCTGCCTTGCAAAATACTGACTGGCACTGGTAGGGCCGCGGCGGCCTCCGAACTGAGCCCACAACCCATTCTGATTAATGAGGAACTGAACTTCAAGGCTTATTTATTCGTTTTTTTTCTTTTTGACGTCTATGCTGTGTAGGTGCTTCGTAATTTTCCTTGTATTTTAGACCTTTTAGAAGACACGGCGTAGCATGCGAAGGTTTGCCTACACCATCTGTCGGAAAATGAAACAGCACATTAGATAAAAAACAAAACAAAACACGAGTTTAATAATGGCATTAAAGATAATGATAATGATAGCCATAATAAATATAATGATAATAGTAATAGTAGTGGGGATGATGATAATGATGACAATGATAATGATAATATTAATAATAGTAATGATGATAATAATAATAATAATAATGATTAATGATAATGATAATGATAATAATAATAATAATAATAATAATAGTAATGATAATGATGATGATAAAGATAATAATAATAATAATAATAGTAATAGCAATAAAAAGTGAAGATGAGAATAATAATGAAAATTATAGTAATGATAATGATAATACTACTACTGCTAATACTGCAACTACTGCTACTAATATCAGTAGTAGTAGTAGTAATAATAAAATAATGTTAATGATGCTAATAACAATGATGATAATGACAATAATGAAAATATTGTAATAGCATTACAGATATGGAATATTTTATGCATCTCTTTCCAGAAAAAAAACACTTTCTTAAAACGATTATCGATTACCTGATAAGCTTATATGGAGACATAAATATTAAAACTCACACACACACACACACACGCACGTACGCACGCACGCACACACGCACGCACGCACGCACGCACGCACACACACACACACACACACACACACACACACACACACACACACACATATATATACCACATAAGGACGCACATTGGCTGCTGAATAAATGTTCTTGTGAGCAATATTACATGAATCATAGGTAAGTAGAACAACGAAGGCATATTCGGGAAAACACCCGAATATGTCGAATGCCTTTTCGCATTTACTGCTTCACCAGGGTATATAAGGCAAGAGATACATAGAGGTAATTAGGCGTGCGACGATTTTCGGTGTGTTTTTCTTTCCTTCGTTGTCCTACTTGCAATTTGTTCGACATGAATTCTACATGAATCATAGGGCACTATGAGGGCTTCAGTTACATCATCCAACACCGATGATAAAGCTAATAGATTAAGAAGAAAGATTAACGTTCTCTTTACTTCCTTTTCTTATATTTTCTACATTCATTGGTTAAATCGTATGCGGTGATACTGAATTAAAACTTCAACCAGTTATTTAGTATTTACGGAGCGTACGTAGACCTTGCTTCTTCTTTAGGTTCTCGTAATGGAACTACGATATCATGGAGACAAAGTACCAGAAAGAGTAAAATATCATAGAAGGTCTCGGTGGGACTGATTGCAGTACAGAACAATTCAAACTCACGTCGCAAATCATTAACCGGGAGTGCCAAAGGATGTCCACGTGCGCCAGCGGGCTAAGGGGCAGCTTGTCAAGAAACAAAATGAATGCAAGGAAGACTACGTGTAGAGAAGCTGGATCAGGCAAAATGTTAAGAGGAGAGGAAGACAAAGAAAACGATGGTCATGATTATGATTGTGATGATGATGAGGCTGATAATCTTAATAGTAATAATGAAGATAACAATAATAATAATGATATTTATCATCGATATGAATATATAATCAATAGAACAATGCTAGTGATAACAGTAAAGGTGTTAATAACAATAGTAATGACCACGATATGAACAATAGTGGAAGTGATAATAATAATGATAATAATGATGGTGATAAAAACAGCAGTAACAGCAATAATAACGATAATAATGAAAGTAATGGTTGAAAGACACATAAAGTATAAATAAGATTTACCAATCCTTCCTCTACCTTCGAGGTAGAGGAAGGATTGGTGTGGACCAGTTTGCGGCGGAAAGTCTTTCCCTGGCGAAAGATAAGCCTGTATTTGAGGGGGTGAATATATTTGAGGGGGAGAAAGGAAAGGTTCAGACTCGAAGTACTCAATGAACAGCTCTGCCGGTGTTGGAGAGAGAGCAGAACCAATGGCAACACCGGACGTCGTTTAGTAGAAGCGACCCTCAAAGGAAAAGGAAATGGACTCCACACACAGAAGCATCAGCTGGAGGAAGTCTTCGAAGGTCAGTGGGAGACGAGGATCCTCGGGGAAGCGCTTCCTCTGAGGGAAAGCGAGGACGTCATCCAAGCTCATCATGGTCGCCGACAAGACACGATGGACACATGGTATGAAGTCCTGAGAATGGTGAAGATAAGCAGAAGAGAAGGTATCAAGAAGAGGAGTGGGTGATGCACCCAAGAAGGTGCATCACAAATTCCCAGAATATTATGGGTTGTAGTGGCAAGCCTTGGCTTATAGCTTTTGGGTAACCCACAGAAATGAGGGAGGCGAGATTGATAACCTTTCGCTTCCGGAAAACAGGGTAACTCCTCCAGGCGACGGTAGAAGGTCACTGGTCAGGGAGACTGGTCCAGGGCTTTCTGCAATGAGGAAGGACGGTCGAGGATCAACGCCGAGTTACCCTAATCAGAAACCAAATAGTGACATCCTCCTGTGCAGGTTTTGAAGGGTATTGCGGTTGTAGTAGATGGAAATCTACTACATTTTTTTATCTCTTCGGGGAGTGACTGAGTGTGTGTGAGTGCCCATTGTTATGGTTGGGAGGCTCCCCAGTCGGCGAAAGGTATTGCTGCCCTAGTGTTGCTTTATCTTGGCTGAAGTGCTCTGGAGGATGATCAGTTGATGATCTTGGTTCAGGATCCCGAAGCTTAAGTACTCGGGAGTTGTGTCAGCGGATAAGAAACAGAGGAGCCTGTGATCCAATCAGACCAAGGCTGTAGGATCTGGCGTGACCCAACGTAGGATGTATGCAGAGCTGAATTTTGCATGTTGCAGGTCGTGGTTGTTACACGCTAAGTTTGGGGATGGAAAAGGGATCCGAGGACCAGGATGAAAACGCTACGAAGGACAAAGACATCAGGGAAGAGATTTCTATGGGTAGAGATGAAACGGTAGTAGCGGGACCAAAGACTGCGGGAGATTAGGCTGGAAAGTTTCTGGGAGAGATGGGCGGTAGAGAGGTTCTCGTGAACGGTAGAAGGAGAGAACGTGCATAGCCGGAAAAGGAAACCCTTCTTCAGAGTGTTTTAGTAGATTAGAAATCGAGGAAGGGAGCTCCGGCTCCTCGTATCGGTTTCAGAGATAACGAAGTCGTTTATTTCTGTTGGGTCATGATGACGACACAAGACATGTAATCAGGAAACGCAAGAACTATGTCGGTGAGAGAGGCAAACAAGAGCGAGAAAAATGTCTTAATCTTATGGTTTGATAATAATAATAACAATAATAATGATAATAATAATAACAACAATAACAATAATGATGACAATAACAACAATAATAATAATGATAATAATAATAGAATAATAATCAAAGAGATGATGATGGTGATGATAGTAATAATAATAGTAATGATGATGATAAAAATAACAACAACAACAACAAAACAACAACAACAATAATAATAATAATAATAATAATAATGACTCAAGTTTACGTCACGAATTAATAAAGATAATAATAATAATAATGATTATTTAATGATAAAGAAAAACAGATGATAATAACAAAAGCAACAACAACAGTAATAATGATAATAATAATAGTAATAACTCGTATTGGTAATATCAATAAGGATGCCAATGACAACAAACAGCAATAACAAAAACAAAAAAGCAATAAAAATATAATTGGTAGAGGTAGTAGCAGTAGTATTACTAATAGTGATAATGATAGTAATAATACTAGTAATAATAATGGTAATAGTAAGAACAACAATAACAACAACAACCACAACAATAATCAAGATATTAAGATAATGATGAGAAAAATATAACAATGAAAATAATCATAATGATGATGAAGATGATATCAATAATAATAATCATAAAATAATAAATGATATCAATAATAATACTGGTATTGACAATGAAAATGATAGTGATAACAATAATAATAACAATAATAACGACGACAGTAATAATGATAATAATAATAATAATAATGATAATAATAATAATAATAATGATAATAATAATAATAATAATAATGATAATAATAATAATAATAATAATAATAACAATAATAACAATTATAACAATGGCAATAACAATAACAACAACAACAATAATAATAATGATAATGATAATGATAATAATAAAGATGATGATGATAATAATAATAATAATAATAATAATAATAATGATAATAATAGTAATAATAATAATAATAATAGTAATAATAATGATAATTACTATTATTATTATTATTATTATTATCATTATTATTATTATTACTATAAACTATGATTATAAAATAAATGTTAAATGTATTATTAAAATAATATAATGATATAATAAGATGGATATAATAATAATAATAATAATAATGATAATAATAGTAATAATAATAATAATAATAGTAATAATAATGATAATTACTATTATTATTATTATTATTATTATCATTATTATTATTATTACTATAACTATGATTATAAAATAAATGTTAAATGTTAATTATAAAATAATGTTAACGATGATAATAATAACAACCACAACAGTAATTAAATTTATAGTAATAATAATGGAAATGATAATATCAATAATATCAGTCATGATAATGATTGTAGTAATGATGATGATAGTTATGACAATAAGAATAAGGATGATAATAATAATGATAAGAGTAATAATAATAATGATAAGAGTAATAATAATGATGATAAGAGTAATAATAATAATGAAAACAATGATAATATAAGAATAATAATGATAAATAAAAATAATAATTATAAAAAAATAAGAATATTAACAACAACAGTAGCAACAATAATTGAAAGAAATAATCATGATAATGATAAAAGGAATGATGACCGGAGCAACAACAATAAACAACGTTGTAGCTCTAGTTCGTGACGTACATCCGAATCTGTAACAGTAATTATGATGATAATAATAATGATAATGACAATAATAAAAAAGATGATAATAATAATAATAACAATAATAATAGTAATAATAATAACGATAATAATAATAATAATA